ATGCCGCCATCTCCACTGATATTGACCACGTGTCAAATATTATTCATAGTTTCAGATCACGAGAAGCATTCATTTCCTGGCGTTGAAAGAACGGTCTCAGATTCTTCGAATCGATGAACACTTAAAATACTAGTATTCATTTATCTGATCTAGCGAATGAGACGGTAGTCTCGATGAATTTATATAATATGTTTTGAATGCATGTTTCAAGATAATATACGCGGATGAGGGTTTTATACAAGAAGAGGTACTTGGACTGATAATAGATATTTCCGCATTAAACGTGTAAGACACATAATGACTCACTATATTATATTTGATAATAAGATTTAAATGAATATACTGAATATTTCATAATGGGGAATAAAACGAAAGAGCTTTACCAACCGAACTATCAGAGAACAGATTTCTATCAGGTAAATTTAACGAGGGATATATAGCAAAATATTTAAAATATATCAGCAGCATATTCCCAGAATTACATCAGAACGCATTATATTCATTTGTTTGTTGTTTAACGCTGCACTCAGCAATATTCCAGCCATATGGTTGCAGTCTGTGAATAACCGAGTCTGGAGAGAGAGAGAGAGAGAGAGAGAGAGAGAGAGAGAGAGAGAGAGAGAGACAGAGAGAGAGAGAGAGAGAGAGAGAGAGAGAGTGGTGTGTGTGTGTCTGTGTGTCTGTGTGTGTGTGTGTGTGTGGTTTGTGAGATTATATTTATGACTCCAGAGTTTGTACTTTTGAATTTAGATTGAGACGCATGCGTTTTCTTCCAAACCTGGAGAAACAAAAGTTATTCCTAACTGACAGAAATGTGCATTAGGGTAACTCATTCATTACCAATGAAGAGTGATTCTTCCCTGTTATAATCTGGTGTTAGTTCTCAGCGCAGGAAAAAAGATGATGTAGGTCACTATTTCTGTCTTCCTCGCACCCAATGATTGATGTCTCTGGGGGACTACACCAGCACGTCTTAAGTGTCCAACACTCCTCGCCTATCCTCTAAGGTGTAGCGCTCTTCGCGTGCTGGGAGTGTTGTTTCTCCTATCAGGAGGTATAGTGTTGAATGATATGTACGTAAAAACTTGTCAAATGATGAATGATATTTTGATGCGGAATTTTAAAATGCCTGGAAGAAGCTGAAGGATTTCAAGATAACCGTAAATGTGTATATACTATTACACGATAACCCGCGGGTGATCCTACACGTGTCTTTCACATTTCTCATGAGCATCCTTGATAACGTGGAGTCTCCCAGATGCATAACGACTTTATCTTATCCAAAGCACAGCGTAATTTATGGCTATAGTTGAAGGCGAACAACAATTTATTGTGTAACATTGAAACCGCTCAAGCACTTACGAGCTAACTATACCGTCGATGCATTAGCAGTACAGGCTTTGGCACGTTCAGCCTTTTGCCACAAATACAGGTCCCGTCTTGAGTTTGAAACAACAACCTTCTTTCACAGGCAGAAAGGCGAGGTAGAGTATATCGGAAACAAATAAAAAGACATAGAACATTCCTGCCTACGACCATCGCTTTAAGTTTCAAGAAACCGGAAGTAGAGGTCAAATGTCGTAAAATCTGAAATGTAAACTCTTTGTAATGAACACCGTTACCGGTTCCAGTTAGGGCATTATATAAACACTGCACTTACAGCGCATTTTAACAAAGATGTAGGTCGCGTGTGGAGTTTGAAACACTTAACACCTCTTGTATAAGCAGCTGTAGCGTATAGAGAGATCGGTTTACATTACCGAGTGGCAGGTTCTTAAAGGTAGACAACATTTGCTTACAATACAGACAAGTCAAGCCTCTGATCAAGAAATACTTATTTATATTAGTGAAGGGCAACCTGTGATAGAGACAGGTTTGCTCACATTACTCACGAGTAAGCGCTATCATAAAGACATATTTGTTTACATCCGTGAAGGGCAAGCCCGTAATACAGGGGTGGAATATTTGCCTACATTACTGGGTGGCTCAAATCAAGCCATTGATAAAGAAATATTTAAGTGTGTTACTGAAGGCTAAGCCTGTGACAGATAGGCGACGTAACTGATCACATCACAAACGCGTTATCCCTATGAGAAAGAAACGTTGCGAACATTCGTAAAACGCAGTTGTCTTGTTCAGAGGCAACATTTGCTTACATTACTCACGAGTCAAGCCCGAAATAAAAACACAAAACAAAAACGTTTGTTTAGATTAGTGAAGGGCAAGCCTGTGAATGAGAAACATTTGCTTGGGTTATAAACACGTCAACCCTACTCTGAAGACACATTTGCTTACATTAGTGAAGGGCAAGCCTTCAATAGTGAGACGGCACATTCGCATATTTTCTGGGAACATTGAGACTCCAGCCGCTGGTAAAGAAACACTTCCTTAAAATTATATTAGTGAAGAGGGTTTGTGAAAGAGTGGTTGCCTATTCGCTTACATTACAAACATATCGTCCCTGTGATAAAATAACATTTGTATACTTCCGTGCTGGGTATGCCTCTGATAATAGGCTTTATATTTGCATATTTTACTAGGTAGATCAAGTCAACCCTCTGATATAGAGAGAGTCACTTTCAATACGGACGAGTCAGGGAATTGACAAGTTTCCGATATTCAGCTTTCCATATAAACCTTTTCTTTACAATGTCGAGGAGCACAAGTGTTCCGAGATACATCGTTTAATTACAGCAGCGAAGGGCAGGACGTTTCTGAAATACAGCATTTGAGTACGATAGTGGAGTTGAGGGGCATGAGGTTCTGGCATGCATCATTTGATTACAATATTGAGGGGCAAGAAGTTTCTTTCATACAGTGAGTGAGTATGGTTTTACGCTGCTTTTAGCAATATTCCAGCAAGATCACAGCAATATTCCAGCAATATTCCAGCAATATCACGGTGAGGGACAACAGAAATCGGCTTCACACATTGTACACATGCAGGGAATCAAACCGGGTGTTCAGCGTGACGAGCGGACGCATTTAACCATTAGCCTACCCCACCGTCCTTCTTATATACAGGGGGCGATGGGGTAGTCTAGTGGTTAAAGCGTTGGCTCGTCACGCCGAAGACCCGGGTTCGAATCCCCACATGGGTACAATGAGTGAAGCCCATTTCTGGTGTCCCCCGCAGTGATATTGCTGGAATATTGCTAAAAGCGGCGTAAAACCAAACTCGGTCAGTCTTATATACAGCATCTGAGTTCGATAATGTGTTTAACAATGGAGGCAACACGTTTCTGAGATACATCATTTGGTTACAGTAGCTAAGGGCAAGACGTTTCGGATGAACAGGATTTAAGTACGATAGTGATGTTGAGGAGCAAGAGGTTTCGAGCATACATAATTTCATTACAGTGGTGAAGGTTAGAACTCTTTCTGATAAAAAACATTTCTGACAATGGTGAGGACATACATAGCTTCATTACAATACTGAGCCGCAAGACGTTTCCGTGATATAAAATGTACCTACGATAGAGAGGCACGTAGCTTCCGCTGGATATTATATGCTATAATAGTGAGGGACAGGGCGTTGTTGTTTCACAGCATTTGCTTTCGATCGTGAGAGGCGAGAATCTCTCATTGCTTTCGATTGTGATCGTTTATTTGTTGTTTAACATCTCACTCAGCAATATTCAATCTATAGGGCGGCAATCTGTAAATAAGCGCGTCTGGACCAGGCGATCCAGTGGTCAACATCATGAGCATCGATCCACGCAATTGGGATACGATTTGTGTCAACCAAGTCAGCGAGCCTGACCACCAGATCCCGTTAGTCGCCTCTTGCGAAAAGCATGGCTTTCGATTGTTAGAGGCAAAGTTTCTTAAAGACAAGATTTGCTGCTTGGATTAGTGATCGGAAGCTCCTGTTTGTTACTATATATTACCCATCTTCTTGGTATGGTGTTGCTCGTTCCAGAATTACCAGCCACATGTCAATTATGAAATCTCTGCACGATGTGATCAGCCATGGAATTCCGGCATTCGACTATCACACACCTGCAACATGTCAACTATGACATAACTGCAAAATGCCCACTATAAAAACACTAGAAAATGACATCTATGAACTCTTTGTCAGCTGTGAAATCTCTGCACAATATCAACGATGGAACTCTGGCGTGCTTTATCATGAAAAAACCCGGTATCTTTTGAGAAAAAAGTATCTTTCAGCCGTTGAAGTTGCCTTGCACCAGTACAGAATTTTGTGAACCAGTATTGCACTATGATATCAAAGCAGGGATCGATTTAAGACATGTTTACCTACTTGCACCAGGTGCAACCTAAGACAAAAACCTAGTTGCACCAGCCAAATTCCAATTGCAACATAGTGTGTTAAAACATCAAAGATTTCGGTGCACATAAACATATTTCCGTGATGTAGTAGGGTACCCATGAAACCTTAGTACCGCAGCCACACAGCTGATACCTGTTTACAAGAGCTGTCATGGCCGAGACGTGTCTGTAAATAGCAATGTTTCAGTGCCATAGGTATTCAAAGTTTAGAAGAAAAATGAGCTGATATATTTATGCTTATAATGTCAGATATATTGTTGATTTATTTTTCAAAAAATTACTTGCACCTGAGATGCAAGTTAGACTAATAACTAGGTTGCACTTTGTAATGTTAGGTTGCACCAGTGCATGTAACGAAGCACTAAATCGAGCCCTGCAAAATCATTGACAACTCATTGATGACCATGTTTGCCCTCAGCATTGGTATCGGGCGGTGGTGTAGCCTAATGTTTAAAACGTTGGCTCTTCACGCCGAAGACCTGGGTTCGAATCCCCACATGGGCACAATGTGTGAAGCCCATTTCTGGTGTCCCCCGCCGTGATGTTGCTGGAATATTGCTAAAAGCGGCGTAAAACCAAACTCAGTCAGTCAGTCAGTCAGCATTGGTATCATAAACAGGTGTGTCAGTGTATGAGTTGTCACGTTGTACTATTGGAACCGACTACAACACCGCCATCTTGGAACACAACACAACGCAATCTTTGTAAATAGTGCATTTATTTCATCGACTCGCATACTGCATATAATGCCAATACATTTATGATATGCAAATGTGTTGCCCCGACTTACACGGCAGATTCTCACTAAAACAGGTGCGTGATCACACAACAAAACACCATAACATCTGCTGACACAGACCGGCGTTGACCAGGTCTATATTTAGACGTTCGTAAACAAGCGGACATTTTGACTGCATCGTACAATATGGTAAATATATCCCATTTGTAGAAATATAATGGAACAGGTGTTACACTGACATGTCAATATCGTCACAGAAATGTATTAATTACAAATCATAAACATCCGTTGGAGACGTACGTACTATTACTTCTCCAACAGACTAAAGTACAGGTACATATTGAAGTGAAGGGCCGTTACGCAGTGAAAGTGCATATATATTGATGCAGTTGTCTACCATAATGTGATATTGCTTTGGTAACGCTAATTTTGTGACACACTTAGTCATGGGATGTAATTACACACAAATAACATTAGCACTTATATTCCAGGCGGTGATGATGTCTCCAAGAATACTTGCTCGTTGACGACAAACAAATATTATACAGTATGGAAGGTTCTGCAACCAGTTTGTAGATGTACATATATTGTCAGTACAAACATTGCATGTGTAGTATCGGTAGATCTGTTATCTCTACCTGTGATCTGAGTGTATTAATAAACAAACAATGAATATAATATATCGCCGAACACCTCGGCAGTACAAACGCGAACGGGTAATATCTAGGGGAAATCAAACACTAAATACCATCGCAAACGCATTGTATGCTATTAGGACATGAAAATATCAAAGAAATGTTTGATCTGCATAGGGAACAGTATGTAGCTTCTGGTAATGACTGGATAAGTCAGTGGTATCCTGCTACGGTACAACCAAGCCCGTCTTGGTATATTTAGAAGTATCTAAAGACAGAAAACCCCAGTCGATCCTGGTATATTTAGAAGTATCTTCCTACAGAAACCCCCAATTGATCTTGGTATATTTAGAAGTATCTAACGACTATAAACCCCAGTCGATCCTGGTATATTTAGAAGTATCTTCCTACAGAAACCCCCATTGATCTTGGTATATTTAGAAATATCTAACGACTATAAACAATCGATCCTGGTATATTAATCTTCCTACAGAAAACCCCAATTGATCTTGGTTTATGTGGACTTATCTAACGAAAGAAAACCCCAGTCGATCTTGGTATATTTAGAAGTATCTAACGACTATAAACCCCAGTCGATCCTGGTATATTTAGAAGTATCTAACGACTATCAACCCCAGTCGATCCTGGTATATTTAGAAGTATCTAACGACTATCAACCCCAGTCGATCCTGGTATATTTTGAAGTATCTAACGACTATAAACCCCAGTCGATCCTGGTATATTTAGAAGTATCTAACGGCTATAAACCCCAGTCGATCCTGGTATATTTAGAATTATCTAACGACTATAAACCCCAATCGATCCTGGTATATTTAGAAGTATCTAACGACTATAAACCCCAGTCGATCCTGGTATATTTAGAAGTATCTGCGACTATAAACCCCAGTCGATCCTGGTATATTTAGAATTATCTAACGACTATAAACCCCAATCGATCCTGGTATATTTAGAAGTATCTAACGACTATAAACCCCAGTCGATCCTGGTATATTTAGAAGTATCTGCGACTATAAACCCCAGTCGATCCTGGTATATTTAGAAGTATCTAACGACTATAAACCCCAGTCGATCCTGGTATATTTTGAAGTATCCACGACTACAAACCCAAGTCGATCCTGGTATATTTAGAAGTATCTAACGACTATAAACCCCAGTCGATCCTGGTATATTTAGAAGTATCTACGACAATAAACCCCAGTCGATCCTGGTATATTTAGAAGTATCTATCGACTGTAAACCCCAGTCGATCCTGGTATATTTAGAAGTATCTAACGACTATAAACCTCAGTCGATCCTGGTATATTTAGAAGTATCTACGACTATAAACCCAAGTCGATCCTGGTATATTTAGAAGTATCTAACGACTATAAACCCCAGTCGATCCTGGTATATTTAGAAGTATCTACGACTATAAACCCCAGTCGATCCTGGTATATTCAGAAGTATCTATCGACTGTAAACCCCAATCGATCCTGGTATATTTAGAAGTATCAAACGACCGAAAACCCAAATTGATCTTGGTATATGTAGAAATATCTAACGACTATGAAACCCGGTCGATCCAGGTGTGTACCACGGAAGACCCAAGTCAATCATTGTATATTTAGTATCTTAGTACAGTGAAAGTACAGTCAAGGGCCCTTATTCTCGAAACGTTCGTAGCCCTAACAATCCTTAACTTTGATCGCAGCCAATGTGTTGAGAATGGGCTTAAGAAGTTCGTAGGGCTATGAACGTTTCGAGAATTGCTAGCCTGGTAAATCCTGACGTATCCCACGACAAAAACCTAGAGGCAATTCTGATATGACTGGAAGTGTCTAAAACCACAACAATCATGAAGTATCATCCAAGTCCAACCCAAGTCCCGGTAAACGAATCCAAGGAGAATTGAAAATACCTTTATATTCCTAACACCCACCATATAGTAATCATCAAGTAAAGGATGTTTCAATATCAATGGTGTCTGGGTTTATGTTGTGTTACACTTGCTAAGATGTAAATACATAACTATTCATGAAAATACCTGTATCGTGTAACATTTGTTATCAGTTGACGATGTGTAACGAATTTTGAAATGATTAAATCTGTTTGGAGTGATTGATTTATACATATATCAATGTGCATTAACGAGTGGAGGGACATAGAAATGATTTGGGTAGACTTGTTCAGACAGGCATAAAGGTGTCAAAATCTTTGCGGACTATATAAAGGAATGAGAAGCTGTGCAAGATTTGCGATGGAGTAGTGAGGATCTGGATGATGCTCGGCACAGACATCCATGACGCCTGGTTGATCGGTGCACTGTGTATGTTATTCTTGATAATGGTGGAGTATCTAATGACAATTTGAGGGCATCTTTCACCGAAAATCTCAAAGAGATACATCTTACAGTGTGACACATGGCATATTGGTGATACTTCAAAACAAACAATCATATTTTTAGATCATATACAAGTACAATACGCATATTGTTGCATCTGTGAACATAAAGTGAACATAAATATATTTTCACATTACATGGTAGAAAACAAAACAAGTTGATGCTTAACAGAAAAATGTAGAACAAGAAATCTCGATCGTGTTTCCAGCAGAGACATAGGTGTGTCTGCCACGATGCAGACTGAGTTATTTGTTGAGATCTTGTAAATATTGTATTCATTCAAGGTGTTTTTTCTAACATTATTTTATATTTATCACGATTCGGCAGCTTAACATGAGAAGAGATGTTTTCATTTGGGTAACATTCATAAGTTCCGGTTTGGTGTTGACAAACCAAGAAATCGTAGTCAGTGCGAATCCGGCATTCCAACTCATGTTTAGCGTATCCTTGGGTGTCCAAAGGTCTCAACTCGCATCACGACTTCTGGTAAACCATCCCTGTAATTTTGACATAAACAAATACAATGCGCTTTTACAGAAGAGTCTGCGGAGCTCGTTATAAGGACACCACTGAACATGTACCAGAACCGAACAAATTCCTGTTTTCCAGGAATTGTATGGAACCCTCTTACATGCTGGTGTGGCAGATACAACTAATACTCAAATGACATTCACATTTTGAAAAATGAGGCGTTATTTCTTCTAGTAAAAAGGGAAACCGAAAATTGTTGCTTTGATCAGAAAATTCTTTATTGATTAAGAGGGAGTTGCTGAAAAAGTCCACGTCCTCGTAAAAATTTCATTTTCGTTCAATTTAAGGGATATCTGACGAATAAAAACATCAAAAGGAATCTCGACGAGTGGAGCATAGGAATTCCTCAGTCAAGGGTCCAGTGTCTGACGATGCATAAGGGTGAGCATTTAAAACGGTGGCGTTACTATCCTTCTAGCCAACGTAATTATATCAAACGCTAAGTAATTATTTTAAAAAACCAACAGTTAAAATGTTACTGAAACGTACAAAACGGAAGCATGTACCACTAAGTATTGGATCAGTCACAAAATAGACAACTCGTTCTAAGCCTATGTTCACATTTCAATAAATAATGCGATTTCTATTTATAATTACTATTTATGTCTGTTTAAAACACACACGTGTACTAAACCATTTCATATTTACCTCACCGTGACTATTTACGACAGTGTTACAGAATGATGTGTTGTTAATATTTGTAAATCTGAATGAGCAATGTCCATTGAACAGTGGTCTTTGAACAGTTGCCATGACATCTAGCTGATGAAGATTCATGAAGATGTGCAAATGAATCCCTGTTTGCGGAACAAATCGATTAAAAGTCGAATAACTTCAAAAGCTGATTTTTTCATATCTGTAATGTGGCAAGTGTCAAAACAGAAAATCAAATCTCCAAGATCAGTGACAGAATTTCTACTCTGTTTCTAGTTTCCGACAATAACTAACAAAATCCGAAAATAATGTCACCAACAATTTTTCAGACAATGCCCAATGTACACTGCAGATCCACATCTAGACGTGATCAGTCTGTGATTGATACACTGACTCCGTGTAGTTAGTGAACTAATTAAATTAACATACACTCAATAAAATAAAATTAATTTGACAGGCATCAGTAGGCTCCAAATGATTTGAATTAAACGTGTTAGGGCTACCAATTAGCCCGGTTCTCGTTCTCATTAAAATGCAACAACCAACTGATTTATGTGCTATTATATCGCACGGCATTCGAGCAGTGATGCCATGAATCTTCCTCTGCAGTCATGTTCTATTTGCTGAACACTTTAAAACACGTATACAGTAATACAGCGTATTAAATATCAAGTTGTCGTTGAGAGTTCTTGGCATTATCATATGTCCAATTAGTTTTTCCTTGTATTTTGGCTTGTATCATTTGCTCTTGAAACATAGTCTGGTTTTACCAGTTTGTGAAAACATATGTCAATCTACGCTCAGGTTTGTGGATTCTTTGGTAAGGAAAACATATAGTTAAATCAATGGTATAAATACAAAGAAATAAATAGGGACGAATAAAATTAAACATCAAGGATTCGATATCACAGACTTCAGTGCCAAATGTTAAGCGATTTGGTCACTATATCCTAACACTTGTCGACTCTCTGTCAAAACTTGCCTGACAATTTGAAACTACCAAACCCGTTTGACACACTTTACATATGTTCTGATGAGATGAACAGGGGGACTATTTTCTCTCTAGCGGACTTATACACCTCTAAAATGATGCATATAGTCTGCTGCAAATGTATCACAATTCGCTCTGATAATTAAAATTAAATAATCCTGATAAATACATGTAATGATCATCTCTCGGCCGACAGGTCGATATGTTCAAGGGCTAGAGCGATGTGGTCAGTTGTCTCGATTTCCGACTCTGGAACGCCCGGATGTGTGTAGCTCTCCAGAAATAGCGGTACGCCTTCAACGTTTTCCGGAAATCCAGGTGGAAGGTCTTCGCGCGTGCGCGGTGTGAAGTTGAACCCTGGGGTATCCCGCAGTAAGCTGAAAAGGACAAAAATACAATTCATGAGTATACTGAGTTGACGCACCTTGGTATAACTGAATACTGATAAAAGATGCCTTAAACTAGTTCCCTCTAGGATCCACATAACGCCTGTTCTTAAGTCTCTTCACTGGCTACCAATCAGAGCCAGAATTGAATTCAAGGTCCTGAGTCTTGCCTACCAGTGTTACCATCTTACGGCTCCAGACTACCTTGTTGGGCTAAGTCACCAAGCACAATCCTTCCAGAATGTTAAGATCGGTAGATAGACACCTTCTCACCATTCCCAGACAGAAACTCCGGGCATTCGGGTTTCGCTCCTTCAGCTATGGTGCTCCACAGTTGTGGACTCAACTCAAAATGTCTCCCTCCATTGACTCATTTAAAAGTTCCCTGAAAACCCATCTTTTCAGAAAATTTTACAATCTTTCCAAAAATTTCACCCTCGTTCTAGCATAACCTTTGCTTTGTAAATACTTGTAAATATGTAGCGCTTTGAGCATGCCTTATGTGTGGAATTCAGCGCATTATAAATACACATATTATTATTATTTTTAAACTACAGCGTTAACTATCAGTGACAGTAACAGTAAGCGACAGGATCAGGAGAGGCCTTCAGCAACCCATGTTTATCGAAAGAGGCGACTCAATGGGTCGGGTGGTCAGGCTTGCTGACTTGGTTGATGCATGCCATATTATTTCGATTGCGAATGTCAGTGCTCATGATGTCAATCACTAGATTACCTGGCCCAGACTGGACTTTGATACAGATCGAGTTCATATAGCTGTGAAACTGCTGGATGCGGTGTTAAACAACATGTAACAAAACAAGTACACTCCCTCACTCACTCACTGTTCCCGTTAAGGTTAACGGTAATTATTGCATTTCATATAATATACCCACCCCAACCTCAAACCATTGTTAAACACTCCCATCGCTCTAGGTATCACTAACCAGCATACTTCTTTGGAAACAGGTGCGACATAATGAGGATCGGTTGGCGCTTGCAGTAATTGATAATAGAGATCACGCAGATAGGTGACAACTTATGCAATTATCAGCTTATGCTGAATCTGCTTTTTGCAGACTCTTTAACATCCGCTTTACCATGTTACTAGTTCATTACGCTGTATGCTTTGCTTCGTCCTGAAGTCATATTCACTCTTACAAGCTATTTTCTGTGTCAACAATACAAAGTGATTATTATCCCCTCGTACTACGTTTTGTATAATTTCTGACCTGTCTGGTTTCATTCATAGAATAAGGTTAAATGTATCCATTGCCACATATCTTGCGATCTGACCTCGTATATATAAATGCCTGCGTGTAAATATAAATAGTCAAGTTAAGTGGGAAATACGATACCTCTAAATCAACTTCTATTTACAGATACAGCGAAACTTCGGAGTATTAGATAAACAATATCAGTCAAATCCTTCCGATTATTTAGCAATAAGCATGCAGACTCTTGAGGTGGTACGAAACTACGGCGAGAAACCTGACAGGTGTTCGCTTTACTCAGTCAGCCATCTTATCTGAAGACGTGATGCACTCAGTAAGATTATTTCTCTTGCGCTGTGATTGGACGCGCCGATAACGCGGAGACGACAACAACAGGATGAACTATAAATATCATCATAATTACACATAATATGATGAATGTCTTCCGATTGGAAGTGGTTGTTATCAGATTGTGTTCGCCAGATTTGCCGGTCCGCTTGTAAAGGGCACGGTAGAATTATCACACAGCATACGTCTAGTTATTAGGCCCACTCGATGGTTCCGGACATTTTTCATGAATGACTGGTATGCTCCAAGTTAATCACTTCTTTTCACTTAATTGATTACTGATTCGATAACCTGCAGCAATGTGTGCCATCAACAACCCTTGTTTAGACGGACAGGCTCACTTCGACAGTTATGGATGATGCAGCTACCATGTTTTCCGACTTACCATCGTAAATGTTTCACCGTTTTTTTATCAGTTATTATCTTGAGTTTAGGGCCATAAAACATGACATTAAGTGGGAGCCGGAAAGGAAACAGAATAAAACCTTATCAATTATCATCTTGAGTTTAATGCTATAAATATGACATTAAACAAGAGCCGGAAACGAGAGACAATATAATTAGGGATACTTGTATAAATGATGACTTTTATCAAAAATAAAGCCAAAGAAATAGAAAACATGATATGGTGATAAAGTAGATCTGAGTAGCATTTATTTTAGCTTAACCGCAAATAACCTGAAGAGGAACGCATTGTATGGATTGACAACTTCGTTATAGCAATAGATGCATCGTTTCGGTGAGGATACACCGTTAGGAAGGAAGTAAATAATGTCCTTACTTGTAACTGATCGGGCTGACGTTAATCTTCAGGGCAACGCTGCCGGATTCAAACTTGTTGGTGATGGTGACGTTATTTCCAAACAGACAATATCTAGGCATCTTGGTGCCGACAACCCCAGCCAACACCGATCCTGTATGGATACCGATCCGCATCTGTGAGATGAAACGTGATACATACATGAAATATACATGTAATGTACATGAAATATGCATATTTTTAAACTGATAGAACCATTTACGTGTGTACATATGTGACATTTCATATCGAGTTTGAGATAATTCTTAAAATAACTTTCTACAGTTGTGAACTACAGTTTGCCCGTATTTATACTTAGTATATACGTATTTATACCCAGTCGCTTGAATAGATCGGGAAATACTTCTCCAAATCACCTACAATATGGTATCAGAATGAATATGCATAAAGGAAACCTACTGAATAGGTCAAATTCAATTGTAATGTCATACTGCTTACGCAAACGACTTAAAACATTCCCAATAGCAAAGATATATATGTTTCATTTTAATACTTTTCCTAAACTGTCTTTGCAAATAGTTGTAACGAAACTTTAAATGCCAGTAGAAACAGTTGTTAATTCGATGATTCAACGGATCACGATTCTCTCTATGAAAGTTACATATGAATAGTTAAACATATCACAAAATGGCGGTTTAGTGGCCTTTCACGTGTATTTGTCAATGACGTTATAACCTTTAACAGTAGATTGAAAGTAGTGTAATGAATCTATCATTTGCGCAAATATTTAAAAGTATTGACATGTGGAAGAATTCATCCCCGTACATAGATATACCATCACAGCTAATTATGACCTTGAAGGAACTGTAGGTTTATTTTTAAAAATTACCTGCAGAAATGTTTACTGAATATCCTCGACTCCTATATCTCTTAGATTATGTTGAACAATAGCAATGTGTTTATTTGTTATTTAGCGCTACACTCAGCAGTATTTCAGCTATATGGCGTTGGTCTATAAATAATCGAGTCTGTGCCAGACAATCCAGTGATCAACATCATGAGCATAGATCTATGCAACTGGGATAAGATGATATGTGTAAGCTAAGTCAGCGAGCTGACCATGGGTTGCTGAAGGCTTTTTTTATTTTAAAAACAAACAAAAATAGTGAGTGACAATTGAGCTACATTAACAGGTTTGTATCATTACGGTCCATGGGAGATGAGGGTTAGAATAGTTGCCAAGGAATCTATGAAAGGTTTAACAAGGTGTACCAAGTGGATCGAACTGGTTAGACTCGGGGACGTAGTTTAATGCATTATTACCCCAACCACGAATCGTTTCTCACCATATAACTCACTGGATTGTCGGGTCCAAACTCAATTATTTACAGCCACCATCATAAAGCTTGAGTATTGTCATAGTTGTATATAACAATAAGCAAACAAACAGTGTATCATTACAGTCTCAATACATATAATTCCTAAGTCTGTACAATTGGCCCAATGGTCAATAGCACGAGCACCTACACACGCCGTGGGAACAAATTTTAACAGGTGATTGCAGCCATCCTAGGTGTAATCTGCTCTAACTGCATGCTTTGGGTATGGATACAATCTGCCCTGAAATTTCACAAGGTACCGAAAAGAACAAAACAATCCGTGTAACAGACTCAAACAGTTCACGACGTCAGAAAACCCACACAAGACAGAGCTGCCACCGATTTAGCCGTACTCTGTTGCCAGCGATTCAACTTTATCGTCTTCCATATACTTTTGTAACACTTTTTATGATGACACTCTCTGCGAAAAACACACAGTAAGTGGTGAGTGAACTGCTCCAGAAATAATCCTGTCGGAATAAACTTGCAACAGACACTACCATGAAAACAAACTAACCCTGAAAATACTTTATAGGATTGAAAAAGTAGCAGGTGCCCTGAAATTGGTGTCAGGCCAAAATTCGAAAGCAATTTGTTGAGAACCTAAACTTGGCTATTGTCGACCTGACAGAAGAAGATATCCACGCTTGGTAGTGTGCAGAGCGCGTGTAGATAGAGAAGGGCTGAACACTATCTATGTTGAAAAACACCAAACAGCCGGTGGAAGAAAAAATCTCGACTTGGGATCGGTAGCGAAGGAAAGCCAGTTAACGAGTTGAAATAGATTGTGTAACTTCAAAACGAGTTAAAAGAATAGCTAGCGCTCTTGTGTTTTGTTTAGATATATTAGGTTCAGGGGAGGAAGGGGTAATGCTAAATCCAGGTATGTTGGCAGAGATCTTTCCGATCTGAAGGAAGTATTTGCAGATATATGCACTTCGAAAATGTGTACAACTACATTAAACCTTTCGCAGGGATTCCATTACAGCATTAAGTGTAACCTTTGATAAAAACCGGTGTGTTATACACTGCGGGAGCCGACTGCATGGGGATGATTACAGACGTGACGTTACAGTGTTTGGCCAACACATGCAGAGAATGGAGAAGATACCGCCATCTTTGCAGCTGATGCTCGTATTCATCTGATACAGCTCATAATAAATGAGGGATACAAAATCCTATATCTGTGCTTCTAATTGGGAACCATTAAGCTAAGTTAAGCGTGTTGGACATTCCTATATATTTTTGCTAACTACAGAATTTCAGAGCTGAAACGTTTCTCGGTCCTTTAAATAACAAATAATGGAGCTAGCGTTCTTTTTTGAGTAACCCGCTCCTTGAGATATATCAGAGGGGTAAGCTGTAAAATATGAAGACGGATTCCATGGCTTTTGAAGCCGATTGCTTGTGAATGTGTTCTTATCAGTGGATATTCTGCGACGCTAGATGGAACGGCAATGTCATTCTGTCTATTTGGCTCCGTGTCTTTATAAAATATGGTTCTTAAAATAGCTGATGGACGAATTCTTATATGGAGTTTCCCTGTCGTACACAGTCTTCTTGTGTTAACTGGCATTGCCGCTCACGTAGGCAGGATGCAACTCCTACAAAATATCATACTTGCTCCTTTGGCGAACATCTGGCGTCACCGATGTAACTGTCTGTCAGATTTTCGTAAGAATGTGTTACTTATCATGAGCCGAAGACACGTTTATAAGTTTCACTGAAAGATGTATTATTGTTTTCAGAGTCTTCCTCTGTGTACCGCCGACCCGTGAACGTCAGGGTTTGAATATTGGTCTTCAGTAACCCATGCTTGTCGTAAGAGGCGACTAACGGGATCGGGTGGTCAGGCTCGCTGACTTGGTTGACACATGTCATCGGTTCCCAGTTGCGCAGATCGATGCTCATGCTGTTTGTCACTTGATTGTCTGGTCCAGACTCGATTATTTACAGACCGCCGCCATATGGCTGGAATATTGCTGAGTGCGGCATAAAACTCAGCTCACTCACTCACTCACTCTCTGTACCGCCACTTTACATTTGCTTTTTTGTTTAACGCTTCACTCTGCGGTTTTCCAGCTGTATGACGGCGGTCAGTATGTGCATTATCGTGTCTATTCCAGACAATCCAGTGATTGACATTATGAGCATATATCTACGTTAATGGGATGCGATGACATGCATGAACCAAGCCAGCAAGACTGACCATCCGGTCTTGTTAGTCGCCTCTTACGACAAGCATGGTTTGCTGGAGAACAGATCATCCTAACCTCGCCTCTAAACGTAATTTGTTCACTGCTGACATCATTTTACACTATATGTTGAAGTTGCACACGTCATCATCACCAAAGGTTCGAATCCATGTCCCTGTGTTAGTGGTATCAAGAAACCGGGGTTTATCGACCCAAACACCATGCTATAAGTGTGTGCAAGCGTCTAAAACCTGCCCTCTCATTAAGCCTCATTCTACGCATTCCTACCTTGATAGCCCCACCATCATGCGCTTTCTGGGATGCAGCTGCCTTCATCATCTTTATCGCCATCCAAGCGATCTGCAGGGCGTGGTACTTGCTGGCCCGGTGCAGCCCCCCTGCCACACAGTAGGCGTCTCCGATTGTTTCAATCTGTTGTAACAAAGACATTTTGATATCAGTGTGCATTTTCAGTTTTGTCATTTCATTATGAAGTTGGTTGGTTGTTTTCACCGCACTCAGCAATATTCCAGCTTAACGGCGGCGGTCTTTAAATAATCGAATCTGGACCAGACAATTCACTGATCAACAGCATTAACATCGATCTATGCATTTGACCAAGTCAGTGAGCCTGATCACCCGATCCCGTTAGTCGCCTCTTACGACAAACATGGGTTACTGGTTTTTCACCTAAACCGTATCTTCATGGGCGCCATTACGAAGTAACACATTAAAGGAATCAAAATTTGGTCTTGAGACTACACACGTCAGACCCAACGCTGTCTCTCCTTAAACCCGCTCCCTATGAAAACAAAATATATAACGTCAACGTCATCGACGCCAACGCCAACGCCAACGCAAGGGAACAACCACAGCCGATTATCCAACGAAACAGGCTCCGCTGCCGAAAAAATGCAAAGCAGTGTTGAAAGATCACTGGAAATCAGTCATGACACAAAGTGCTCGTTAAAAGGGAAAGAGGTCTTGCCCCACTTGCATAACACACAACCCACACAATAAGCCCCAAGAAACACCAGTCTGTTGCCTGACAGCGCTGAGCATCAGCACTCATGAACACTAAAACTATACACAAAATTCAGTTTAAGGAGGATAGTAATGATATTACTTTACTTAAAACTAAAAACTACTGCTTAAATGATACCATTCCACTTCATGTTTCCATTATATGTTCTTTCCTTGTAATTTCTATATCCTCATCTTCAGTTTATAGAGGTTGACCTGGAGACGTGTGATGGTAGCAGTTGCATCCCACTACGATCTGCAGCACTTGGAGAACATAAAACCAGAAATTGGGTCTTATCGAACAATTTGTTTCCACATCAAATCCATTATCAGCCAAACGAGACGATTTGTTTCAGTGATGGTAGGTGCAGTTCCACATTGCACCAACTGAGAAGGCAATCAAAGAGATGTTGATTGAGATTTTACCCAGTATATCGTCTAATTGCCGATGGTTTTGGGGCACGGACAGACACTTCTACTTAAAGGATATTTTTCTTTTCCTCATTAACGAAAATAGGATTACTGGAGAGCAGCACTCCGGGATTCAAGATACGAGTATCAATTCGAAATCAACATCCAATTTAAGGTCTAAATTGCAAATTAACAATTCAGTTGGTCATTCAGTTGATAAGTAGGCAATAGGGTAGCACAGTGGTTAAAGCGTTCACTCGTCCGGGGTATTATGGGTACAGTATTTGCACCTTCGGTATATTTCTTGAATATTGCTTTAAAAAAGACTGATATTTTCACTTTGTTCATGAAATGGGACAAGTGAAGTATTGATTGATTATAAATTAACGCAGCACTCAGCAATATTCCACCTATTTAGCGGCGGCCTGTTTTTAATCTGGTCTGGACCGGACAATCCAGTGATCAACATCATGAACATTAGCCAGCTCTTACGACAAACATGGGTTGCAGCAGACCAATTCTAACCAGGATCTTCACGGGTTGGCAAGTGAAGTAATTCCTAATGTCTCATATCCAGTTCGTATCGGATTTTCAATGAAATAATATGCCACCCTACTCTGTACTGTCCTTAGTGGGGAAATGAGTTATTCGATGACAAAAGGCATTTGTCTTTAGGAAATTCCAAATTTGTTTTCCACAATTTGTACCAGTGCCATTTGTCATCACTGCATCCATGTACGCCTAAGGCCAGAATCTCATTTGGCCTTTCGGCTACCCGTTTGGGACAATATAGATAACGTCAGTTACACTAGACGACATATTTAAAACGCTCTGAGACTGTCTCAGCACTAGAAAGACTAGTTACAATTTGCTAAATGCATGCATACTTCATCAACATATCGCCTTGTGAATCCGCTTGTTTTTATTACTTTTTTATGTTTTCGTTTTTGGGGGATGAAAGGGGAGGGGGTAGTGTGTGCCGCCAGCAAAAAATAATACTACAGACACTCTGTAAATGATTTGTCCAGACCAGACAAACCGGTGATTTATATCACGAGCATAGCGATTGAGGTCGGGTGAACGCCGCTTTTATGCCACCAATATCACGGCGGGGCTCACCAGAAATGGTCTTCATACATCGTACCTATGTTGGATTCAAACCTGGTTTTCGGCGTGACTAGCAAACGCTCTAACCACTAGGCTATCTCGCCGCATCACTTATAGAATGAGACACAACAGACTGAGAGCCACCGTTGTTCAGAGTCTTCACCAGCCTTTCACGCAATCTGATTATCTGTGAATGATCTTCACGGGGAGAATGCACCGTTAGTCACAGACAAAACAGGAACGTGTTATTTACAGAACACAGAAGAAATAATGGAAAGTAAACGAGTACTGAACACAAGGCGTAAGAAGGGCATACACAAGTCAGTATCTATTTTTGTGATGCAAACATAATCAGGAGCTTCACAGTTCCACTTTGGCGTACATCATCAGTAGGCAACAACTCAGATGCCGAAAGCATCATCTAGCTATAAAGAATGACATATCTTTATTATGAATTTACGGATCTCAGAACAGGCTCGGCAAGAATAGAAAGCGATTTGTTTTGGGGATATTATTTTAGGAAATATTGAAAGTGGTAAATCTGTTACAATGCATTGTTTGCACTTAAAATTGACAGGTGTGTGTTATTTTTATACATTACAAACGCATACACTGTTTCTTGCAGTTATTTGTTTTGATATTCGCGACATCTCGGATAACGAAGAGTTACGGTGTGCATTAACCTGTCATATTCCTCGTTGTCGTGAGCTAACACAGCAATAAAACTCAGTTTTGTGAAAATCACCGATGTTATTTGCTTGGGAAATGTAGTGCAAATGAAATGTCGAGATACGGAAGTAAACCATGTTTACTTCAGTTTATTCTCGACCAGGACGGGCAGTGTGACTATACACACTACTGTCTATACACACCACTACCATGTACACACTGTGCTGAGGCTACCGTAACTATCCTATGCAAGCCTAAACAATGCACACACATATCGCTGCCCAGTCTAATCATATATTCTTGAGGGGCGGTGGGGTAGCCTAGTGATTAAAGCGTTCGCTCGTCCCGCCGAAGACCCGGGTTCGACATGGGTACAATGTGTGATGCTCATTTCTGGTGTCCCACGCTGTGATATTGCTGGAATATTGCTAAAGGCGGCGTAAAACTAAACTCACTCACTCCTTGACTCAGTTCCTAAATCTGAGGATGTTTTATTGAAATCAGACATCACCAAAACATACATACACAAAAATGAATGCGTTGAAACAAATGACAATATCTGAATCAGTTTTGATCCTTTATAAAGATCGCTCAAAGTGTTTACCCTTTAAATGGATCAAAGTAAACGCAGCTCCATATTGAGGACTATTGTGTCTCAAGTCTCGCCGAACAATTCAAAACAAACGGGCGAGAAGCAGTATCAGAGCATTCAGATCCATTGTCCCATAAGTCGTGACTTGTAAAGTTAGACTACGTGACATGCTAAAAGATTTTCCGCTTTCCTTGGTAGTTGATGACCCACCACAACGCTGCTCTTTGTCCCTGCCAAAGCCATTTGTGACGTCTACTTTGCCATCATTCTCCAGAAATTTAACTTTACCTATTTACGTGCCGTCCGGCAGATCATTACTGTATCGTATTTTAAGTAAAGCTCCACCTTTGTGTCCAGCAACACGACCGGTAGTCCCTGATCGCTGGCAGCGCATGTTCTACGGGTAATTAAGCCCTCTCTTGTGTTGATGTAGGGTTGACGGTTGCTAGTTTTAGCAGCAGTTTTGTCTTGAACAACGGAACTCCGCGTGCAGCGTGGAGAGCGTTACAAGGAACCTCTGCCATACTCGTGCATAATTTAATAGAAACGTATAATTGGTTTGTGTTGTAGTTTAGTGGATAGTGGTAGAGAGGGTGTTCTCACAAAGCAATTGTGAAACTCTTCTGAGAAGCAACCATGTGATTTTCAGGGGTCGTTTGTTCATACAAAAATTATAAAGACCCTGTTCAGCTGAACGAAATTACGTATGCTCTGTATTGTAGAAATAACATGACCTTCAACCATACATGTCCAGAAAAAGCTGTTTGTTGATTAAAATTGGAACTTACCACCTGAGTATGTCAGACAAAAAGTTCAGCTCATCTCCATTAAAAAAAACGTTGATTTGAACCAAATACCTCCCCATCTCCCTTGACAATAAAACCATGACACCTTAACATCGACTGGAAGTAGTTGAAGGACCACAACAGTGTTGTGCAAGATGTACACGATTAAGTGATAATTCAATACAGTGAAACGAATTCTAGGGTAGACAGGATGAATAAATAAGTAATTAGTGACCAAAATAATGGCAGATGCAACTTCTAATTTTACTTGTGCCATATATACCCATTCTGAAAACTTGACCTGACTCTGCATGTGTTTGCGCCATCAGTGAGACAGTATGCTCTCACCACTTCGCGTATCAGTTCTATTTGACAGTGATTCAATAAAAATCAGAGTCGGAATCATACAATGAACTTCTTATGTTATGCAGGTTTTATTAAAAGATCTAAAAAGATCAATGTTCTGATACATCAGATACAGCTGTGATGATATCGTTCTGACATGAGGGGGCAAATTTTGATGTAGAGGTCAGATGTCGTGCAGGAGCATATTGCTTATGATTATGGAAATGTGTCCATTGAACTGGAATATCAGAAGTACCAGAAGTAGAAGGATCACTTTTAATGTTATAGTTTCATATCCCAATAACATGTTGTTCATTTTAGACTCTACATGGATCGTATCTCAACATCGTGTGTAGAATACACTATATGCATCGAAATCAGTCATATTGATATACTTTATTGGCGGCTAAGCGGTTAGTGCTTCTCTCATCACAAAGAATATGCAAGTTCGATTCCATCAAATCAGTGACGATATGGCAATTGTTAATTCCACCTTGAAACGGCTTACTTGCGGTCCCAAACGGCTTAATCGTATACATTCCATCACAAGGTTTTAATCACTGTAATATTACCTTGTACACGTCGAGCAAGCCGCAGTAGTTGTCGAAATGGGTGTAGAGGGAGTTGAGCATGTTGACGACCTGCATGGGCGTGGCCGTGGAGCAGATTGCGGTGAACCCAACAAGATCGCTGAACAACATGGTGACGTCATCAATCTTCATCGGTTCCACACTTTCACCTGGAAGAGATCACGTTATGGAATTGGTTAAATCGTCAATAACATAATATTTTCCTCACTCCATCTTACCGTTTTTTCCGACTTGTGGAAATGCTGAGGGACTCACGTAATAAGCAAGTAGAGACTTGGTGAATACTTCTCAACAGCTGCCACCTGAGGTCATAGATTAATACGCGCTCTTGGTGGTGAAATTAAAAAGTATAGCCTTAAGCCTTGAAACTCATCCAAGTGATTTTCATTTTGCTTCAGAGAGATGCAATCGCCTAAAAACTAAAATACTGTAAAAACATGATATCTGTGGAGAAACCTATTGCATTTTGGCATCCAAATACCAACTATCGACAAAAAATAAGGGAACTGATGAAACGGTAGGGACGTGTAATGACGATAAATGCTGCGAAATTAATTTCGGGAGTGTTGATCAATATCTGATGTGTCCACGATGTTGGGTGATACATGTACGACACCTCGATGGCATACTGCTGATTAAATTGCGGATCGGTTGTCCTTGGTATTGGCAGTCCATCTTGAAGAGTGCGCAAGCTGGAAGGGGATGGATCGCTGGCGTCCACTCTCCGACCGAGAACATCGAGTAGATGCTCAACTGGTGACATGTCAGAGAGACAGCGTGCCATTTCATTGTCTGTATGCCTTCGCAAAGGATATAATCCTTGACAATCTGGTTATGATGTGGTCTGGCATTGTGAGCTTGCAGTTCAAAATTTCTGTTGACAATTCCAGCGATTTCGACAACCAGAGCGCCAGCATGATGTCCACACAATGAAACATCGCCACTATATCATGGTGAATCACGAACTGTTCATCCATCAGATGTTGCGTTACGATGCAACACAGCAGTAACCTGAATGTACACCTATATATAGCAACATTCAAATCAGTGTTTTGTGTCTATATTATTATCATACATGAAGACCTATGGCCGAACGGTTTCGTGGTATATCTGTTTCAATTAAACAGATTTGCCAGATGTCATTTGTTGGTATATCCACCAAATTCAGTTTTACTGCTGTGTGGTTTAAGAGGAAAAGGTAAAACAAACGCACGCATTTTCCTTTATCCTGCACACAAGGTTTCCTCTCTTTATATAGCATTGCCGGTTTCGTTACAAAAATCCGGGTTTTCAATATTACCACCTTGAATAACGATAGACCTCTCTATGGCAATGAGCGCAACAATAACGAAAACTAGTGAGAGAGTGACTGATTATGGTTTTACGCCCGTTTTAGCAATATTCCAGCAACATCACGGCGGGGGACATCAGAAATGGACTTTACACATTGTACCCATGTGGGGAATCGAACTCGGGTCTTCGGCGTGACCAGCGAACGCATTAACCATTAGGTTACCCCACCGACCCAACTAGAACTAGCAAGCTGAGACATGAGAAAGGTGGATGGACGGTCGTGGCGACCAGTGCACCAAATACACCACATGTCCTTACTCTTCTGAAGTTCGAAAAAACGTTCAAAAGATGTTGCATTTATCTTCTTCACTACCGGCGACCCAGAGGTAATATTTCCTGGTCCCAGGAAATTACATTCATTAGCTGAGCCACCAGTTGTTTGTCAGTTTGTGACGTACTCGTCATAACAGGTAAATGAACAGTTTAAGCGCATGAATATGCAACTTATCACCTTCAGACTTGGCCCTTGAATGTAATTAAAAGACGAAATTACACTGTGTCTGTGCTCTAATGTAATTATCATTTTCAACGATCACAACTTTCTTTACTCTGAGTTGCTTCTGAACACCGTCACAACATGGTCAAACGTTGTCCATTGGTATGTATTGCCTATAAGTAACCAGAAGCAAACTTGTCAGAAGGTCAATTGTTCTTCTCGAAGGTCCTTCTTAACATACACATACTGCACTTTGCAAAAGAATTCGATTTGGTAAACGTTTTCCACGTCGATCAGTACTACAAATTTCCAAGGCGAGTGAATTTGTTGGAATCCTCAAAGTCCCAATATACAAACTGTCTATGTCCAATAAGTAATATATGCTGTCAGTGTATAGAATGTTTACGCCAAAGAATTTTGCATGTCAAAGTTTAATTCATTGATTGTTGCTTAAGTTATGGGTTGATGAAGACTAATTCTAACCGGATCTTCACGGGTGAAATATTTGAAGTAGAGTATCGGGCAGAGTTAGACTATATCATAACTATACCAGTGCACAGGTATGGTACATGAAGGTACAATGCGGTGATGGTACAAGTCAGGCAAGGATGGTATGCACGGACTGTGACAATGTTCAGCACACATGTTTCAAAATCAATCCGTACAATGCGTTCTGTGAACTTGAGGTCGTATGGTATGACAATGTCAGCTATACTAATTAGACGTTGACCTGTAAGACCCCTGAAGATCCGGGTTAGAATTGATCTTCAGCAACCCATGCTTGTCGTAAGAGGCGACTAACGTTATCGGGCAGTCCGTTTCGCTGACTTGGTTGACACATGTCATCGTATCCCAACTGCACACGATTATTGACAGACCGCCGCGATATAACTGGAATATTGCTGAATGCAGCTTTAAACAACAAACAGACACATCTTCTACAAATACACTGCATTTCTAAAAAACATAGTTCGAGACAAATGAGACAGATTAACTGAGATGATATGAAGGAATTGGCTGTTGTTTAATTTCTTTTAAAAAAACACAGACCACGTGTTGTTCCATATTGTCTGCGCATCAAGGTCAACACTCCGTCATGTGGTGAAACTGATATCACGACAAGAACAGGACACAAATCACGCGGGATATCAGCAGTGGAGGACGTTTAATCAAAACACACGCTAAAAGGGGAAATACTCGAAATAATACGATTACTTTGATTTATAAGCCTTCCAAGAAAGTTTAGCAAGATTTGCTGGAAGTGGCTGTAGCAATCGATGAAGTATCTTGTCCCGAACATTGGCGTGCCAGACAGCAGGTGGAAGGGCCTGCAGTCGCATCTACTAAACAGTTTAAGATATACAGATTTCACGAGCAGCTTCCACTAAGGCCTTTCTTTATGGGCTAAAATGCCCCTTGGGCTTAAAATAATACTGGCAGGAGCTTTGTCGAACATCAGATAACTAAAAACATGGTCTTAATTGACATAAATCTGAGAAGCCTGCTTTAGTAAAAGATGGAATCTGCAAGATAGACTTATGGTGCAAATCATTACATTGTGGGAGGCGCGTGGTACAGGGTTTCAGGAAAAGAAAGACGAATGCAAACTTAAAAGAATTAACGTTCATATTTTTGCAAGTAGTTTGTTTCCAGAGAAGTTAAATTGGTGAGCAATCCTAAACGAAGGAGCAAATGGAATCCTCAGAAGAAAAAGGCGAGACAGAGAGAGGGGAGAGAGGGAGAGGGAGAGGGAGAGAGAGAGAGAGATAGTGAGAGAGAGAGAGAGAGAGGGAGAAGAGTTGGAGGGAGGGAGGAGCGGGAGGGAGAGACAGAGAGAGGGAGAGAGAGGGAGAGAGGAGGAGAGAGAGAGAGGGAGGAAAGGAAGAGAGAGGGGGAAGAGAGGGGAGAGAGAGGGGGAGGGAGGAGGGAGGAGAGAGAGAGAGAGAGAGAGGGAGAGAGAGAGGGAGGGAGGAGGAGAGAGGAGGAGAGGGAGAGAGAGAGAGCAAGAGAGAGAGAGGGAAGGGAGAGGGAGAGAGAGGGGGGAGAGGAGGAGAGGGGAGGAGAGGGAGAGACAGAGAGGAGAGAGAGAGAGAGAGGGACAGAGAGGAGGGAAGAGAGGAGGAAGAGAGAGAGGGGAAGAGAGGGAGGGAGGGAGGGAGGAGAGGAGGGAGGAGAGAGAGAGAGAGAGAGAGATTTGCGAGAGTGATGTGGCGTCGAGAGGATGTATAGGATGGAGGGGGAGGGGCGCTTCTAGTTTGTTCAAGTCGACATGGTGCATGTTAAACCGAACACGATGCGACAATGTTGTTTCTGGCCAACAAATTTACGTTGCGCACCATATGGCATGACAGACTTCTGAAGTAACCCAGGCAGTAATCGGTTCTACAATTATTGCATTGACTCCTTCATGGCATCAGTATTTGATCGGGAAAAGAATAATAGTCTTTATCTGATGCGGAATTTCATTAGGTTCGTTGCCATTAATCATTAGTGTATTCAGGTTCTGTGGGGCCGTTCAACAGAAGACGTGTATTTGTCTCTAGAACGGTATTTTGGTGCCAGCAATAATACAGTTTAGAAATTCTAGATGATCGCAGTCTACAGCAAAAGGTATCGTCTGTCATCCGTTGCCTGTATTTCATTTTACATTAAATACAAAATTCATAACAGCTGAAATTTGTTAAAGAGGTTTGTTGTGGCAACAGATTTTCCTTATCTTTATGGGAGGGGAGGGTAAAAGAAAATGAATTGCAAAGCAGTTTCCAGTGAGTATGATATACAGCGTAGACCTGCAACTCAGGTTCTGGACAGCACTTGGCAGTAACACGTCCAGTAACTGATTGGGATGCCAACATAACAGAAAACATCCTACCTCGTTATAGTTTCTGGGCAACGCCTTGTTGTAATGTGTCTTGTAAGAGATCGGTGTTCCTTCATCTCATATAAAAAACTACCTTGGTACAGTGTCTGGGCATCACACGTCTAGTAAGAGATTGGTGTGCTGACACTACAGAAAATAACTTACCTCGCAACAGGGTCTGAACAAGACCTTATGCTAACGTGTCCAGTAGTGAGTGCTGACTGACTGACTGACTGAGTTTGGTTTTACGCCGCTTTCGGCAATATTCCAGCAATTTCACGACGGAGAACACCAGAAATGGGCTTCACACATTTTACCCATGTGGGGAATCGAACCCGGGTCTTCGGAGTGACGAGTGAACGCTTTAACCACTGGGCTATCCCACCGACCACGTGTCCAGTAAGAGACGGGAGCGCCCCCAACGTAGACAACATCCTACCTCGCCACAGTTTCTGGGCAACACCCTGTGACTTCTTTGACTGGCATTTTAGAAGTTGAGGAGATGAAGAACGAGGACAAGTTTTATGGACATACAACTTCATCATTCAGTACAGGCGACGTTTCGATTTGTTTCACAACGACGTTAGAATCTATGTCCAAACGTCGCCTATACAGAATAAAGTAGTTGTAAATGCATAAAACTTGTCCTCGTTCAACACCCTATGGTTAAATGTCCAGTGAGAATGGCTGCCTATAAACACAGACAGTAGCTTACCCCGAATCAGGTTCTGGGCAACACGTTGTGGTAACACGTCCAGTTAGAGATTGGTGTGTCTACATTACAAAGAAACATCTTACCTCTCCAGAGTATCTGGACAACATCTTATGGTAACATGTCCAGTGAGAACTTGGTGCCTGAATGCACAGGCAACAACTTACTTTGCCACATCTAATGGTTATATGTCCAGTAAGAGATATGTGTGCCTCCATAACAGGAAACAACATAAGGTTCTGAGCAACACCTTATGGTAACACGTCCAGTTAGAGATATGTGTGCCTCCATTACAGAAAACAACATAAGGTTCTGAGCAACACCTTATGGTAACACGTCCAGTAAGAGATATGTGTGCCTCCATTACAGAAACAACATAAGGTTCTGAGCAACACCTTATGGTAACACGTCCAGTAAGAGATATGTGTGCCTCCATTACAGAAAACAACATAAGGTTCTGAGCAACACCTTATGGTAACACGTCCAGTAAGAGATATGTGTGCCTCCATTACAGAAAACAACATAAGGTTCTGAGCAACACCTTATGGTAACACGTCCAGTAAGAGATATGTGTGTGAAACAACATAAGGTTCTGAGCAACCCTTATGGTAACACGTTCAGTAAAAAAATGTGTGTGCCTGCATTACAGAAACATCCTAAGGTTCTGTAAACACCTTATGGTAACACGTCCAGTAAGAGATATGTGTGCCTCCATTACAGAAAACAACATAAGGTTCTGAGCAACACCTTATGGTAACACGTCCAGTAAGAGATATGTGTGCCTCCATTACAGAAACAACATAAGGTTCTGAGCAACACCTTATGGTAACACGTCCAGTAAGAGATATGTGTGCCTCCATTACAGAAACAACATAAGGTTCTGAGCAACCCCTTATGGTAACACGTTCAGTAAGAAATGTGTGTGCCTCCATTACAGAAACATCCTAAGGTTCTGTAAACACCTTATGGTAACACGTCCAGTAAGAGATATGTGTGCCTCCATTACAGAAAACAACATAAGGTTCTGAGCAACACCTTATGATAACACGTCCAGTAAGAGATATGTGTGCCTCCATTACAGAAACAACATAAGGTTCTGAGCAACACCTTATGGTAACGCGTCCAGTAAGAGATATGTGTGCCTCCATTACAGAAACAACATAAGGTTCTGAGCAACACCTTATGGTAACACGTCCAGTAAGAGATATGTGTGCCTCCATTACAGAAAACAACATAAGGTTCTGAGAAACACCTTATGAAAACACGTCCAGTGTAAGACTGGCGTGTCTGTAACATAGAAAACAACCTACCTCGCCATAGATTTTGGGCAACTCCTTATGGACATTTCCATAGTAAGACCGGTGTGCAAGCAAAATGGACAACAACCTACCTCGCCACAGTTTCTGGGCAATCTCTGGTGGAAAAATGTCCTGTAACAGACTGACGTTCTTCTGCTTCTCCGTATCCACGGCCTTGCTCGCCTCCAAAATACTTTTCTGCAGTGTCTCCATACGCCTTTTGAGACCATCCTGTCAACATAACATTCCTTCATGAATTTCACAACTCCTGAGACTCGAGGTCGTATTTAGTCAAATACGAAAAACTTAGCGGAAAATACTATGAAAACAGGTTTTCTAGTCAACAAGAAGAAAAAAAGATATGCGAATAACGACTATATTAACTACGTCTTTGAACATAGCATCGATTTCCTTCTGAACGAATGAAACCCGCGAAGATCCGGGTTTCAGTAACCAATGCTTGTCGGGTGGTCAGGCTCGCTGACTGGGTTGACACATGTCATTGTATCCCAATTGCGTAGATCGATGATTATGCTGTTGATCCCTGGATTGTCTGGTCCAGACTCGATTATTTACAGACCGTCGCCATATAACTGGAATATTGCTAAGTGCGGCGTAAAACTCAACTCACTCACTCACTCACTCTGAACGGATGACGTCCATGTTGTGACCAAAACATTACTGAAATTACTGACTGTCTCCCGTCTCTTAAGTACACAGTGATGTTGAACAGCTCGCTAAAGTCTAACTAGAAAATAATAAGTTTCTCCTGAACAAGCCAACATGCAATATTATTTTTCTTCATCAGAATTTAAGTTGTATCAGCATTTTGATCTTGGCACTAGCTAGATTGATGGCTATGTCTTAGCAGTCTCTTTGGCTCCAAGGACACAATTATGCAAAGAATATTGAATGCTGTTCATGGGTGGCTATATTTACCCGAGAACTCATTTCCTCTGCTATAAAGATTTTATTAAAATTCGATATAGAATCGAAAATAAATAGAACGTACATATAAGCATATCAATCGAGCAAAACACTGAACTTGTATCCACGTCGAAATATCAGTAGCGTGTATTATTCATCTATTGCTCTCAATGGAAATGTCACCCACAGCTTATCTACTTCATTAACTTGCATCCTTTTCACATCGGTAGGAGGTAAGAATCGATTCTAACCCAACTGTTAGTTCACGGTAGGTGTACGAGAGACATGTTTTCACTTCATAAGACGCATTTGAGCTTTTACTCCCTACTGATATGTTCAAAATAGTTTGAAAGCTGAAACATGTTTGATACATTATCCATCTTTTTTCCCCAGATCGAAATCATACCATAGAAAAAAACCGAGTGTTTTAGGTATCGATGGTACCAGGCTTGGTGAGTTAGGAAGAAGGAAAGACGCTGATTTTTTAAGGACGTCAAGCGAAAGCGTTATTCACAGATGACAGCCCGCATCAAGTAAATTCAAACTGAATGCCACCACTGAAGTGCATGATATACTCTTAATCACACATCTCTGCAGCTACTCCGTGTAACCATTGAGCGGAAATAGGACAAAAACGCACACATATTCTCATCCATTAGTGCAGTGATGAGAAATACATGTGCTTCGAGTTAACTTTGTACAAATTGATTACAAGGTACAGTTTGCTAATGCCACAAGTAACAGGCATGTCAAAAGTAGAATAGTGTTTAGGTGAAGTGACAATTACTCTTTCGATTTGCCGAACCTGCCACTGTTGAGTGAGTGAATGAGTAGGTTTAACTCGTTTGTAGGACAATTTACATGCAATATCGTCGTGAGGAAAGTCAGCATTTTGACATGACCACTTTGAAGCGAGGTCAGGTGAGTGAGTGAGTGGAGTTTAGTTTCACGCCGCACTCAGCAATATTCCAGCTATATGGCGGCGGTCTGTAAATAATCTGGACCAGATAATCCAGTGACCAACAGCATGAGCATCGATCTGCGCAATTGGGAACCGATGACATGTGTCAACCAAGCTAGCGAGCCTGACCACCCGATCCCGTACGTCGCCTCTTACGACAAGCATGGGTTACAGAAGGTTCATTCTAACCCGGGAAGCGAGGTCAGGAATGAGATCTAGGTTTTCAAACGACGAGCGTACATCTCCAAGTGAGTGTAGGGCAATTTGCATACAATATCATCGTGAGGAAAGTCAGCATTTTGACATGACCACTTTGATGCGAGGTCAGGAATGAGATCTCGGTTTTCAAATGACGTGCGGACTAGTTAGTAGATGTGGTTTTACGTTGCTTTCAGTAGTAACGCTTTAACCACGAGGCCCACTGCCAATGTACAACTAGGGGCTGTCAAATTAAAATTCCTTGTATGAGGGTTAAGGGTGGGAATGAAATACTGTTCCTGAAAATACTGACAAGTAATGTCCTCAGCTTTTACCATCCAATTCCCAAGAGATAAATATAGCATAGAAGAAAACAGATTCTGAATATACAAATTAAACAAGGGACATACGTTATGCACTTCAGTCTAATATTCCAAATTTGTGTGTCACGGTTATATTGCGTGTGAACAGCTGTCTATATTGTAGCCCTGAACCAGAATACATTCAGGATACATTCTCCCACAATTTCTAAAGGGTCAGTTCTTTCCACCAGGATGCTACCCTACCGCAGCCCCCACAGCCATGACCGATCTTTAATCAGCTGTTAAATGTGAAGCTTCACCTAAGTAATAAATTCTTGTGTTTATTAAGACGATTTGGGGAGGAATGTAGAATGTGTTGATTGGTCGCGTCTCAGTGTGTTTTGTTTAGACTAAACTGTTCATTTACGAGCATACTTCCTGATTCTGGCACACAACTTGCAACAAACTGACTACTTTCTGGAAACATGCGGTTTAGCAACATTCTCAGTGTGAATAGAGACATAAATAATATGGGGCCGATTCTCAAGTGTCGGAAGAGAACCAAAATACACAGAATATTTATCTTACTTTCAGGACTTATCCAGAATGTATCGGTAAGATTAAACCCTTTGACTCTCCTCCACATCCGTAGTGCAAAACAACGTGAAACTCGAGTACAAGTATTTGAGAGAAGTGTCAACAAGCCTACCATGGGAGATAACGCCTATCCATTCTCCAAAGCTGACACAAGACTAGTACCAAACACTCTCCAGACCCCTCAACATGTCTATCTTTACCAAGCAAACACACTTTACATGTCACTGTGTGTTCAGACGCTGTAAGGTAGGCTCCAACTGTGCCATTCGTGAAGGATTGGTATCTAGCCGTGGTCGTAATTAGGAAACCTGTAGTTAACTTCGGGAAGACGTAAACAAACGCTGAACACTTACAGCTCTTGGCAGTGAAATAGTGGCTATGCTGGGAGGCGTATCAGTAAGAATGGTAGCCATTACAGGTTAAAAGTCAAAATAAGGACATATGCAACCCCAGAAAATCAGTATGTCCCATAATGCAATTAATGGAATATGACGACTAATTAAAGGTAAAGTAACTCACAAACAGCATGACTGGATATTGAACTTCTGATATTGTTAGATAATTTCAATAACTTCACGAAACTTTGAATTTTAAAGCAGTCAGTTTTTAGCAGCAGCAGGGTCCGTGTGGTTACGTCATGATTGGGACTATATTCAGACACGTATCACTACACGGGTACACATCACTCCTTTCCCTAAAGAAAATAATTCTGTTACACCCCCTCTACCAATGAAGTAACATTTTCGTAACTGTAAAATACATAAACTAGTATGGTCTAATCAGCTGTTACATATCCACTCTGGCTGGAGAGGTTTCTTCTTGATTGGGGAGCAACTGGTGTCTCCTTGGCTTGGCTCGTTTCTTGGTGGGTCTGTTCAACTTCCCTAATTCTCTCTCCGAAAGTTACTTTCTTTGGCTGAGCAAATTGGTGAGTTCTCTAATAGATTGTCTCTTGGACTTTCGACCGGGGCTAGGTTCCAGCCCCCAGTGTCTGGAACTCTGTCTGCGACGTTTTGGTCTCGGGAAAAGGGAAGGAGACCTTATGCAGACCAGTCGTGGAACTTTTTTTTCGTTTTGTCTTTGTTGTGGTTTCCTTGCATGCCCGTTGGTTCTGGGATATGGTGAACTTGTAATATGCCTAAAGTTACGAATGCATTCTTCTGCATATTGTTTGTATGCATAACAACTGCATGTAATCAACTATTTTCGGGGTCAAGTTCAAACGTGTCTCCGAAAACCCGTTTTAACCAATTAAGACATCACTGGCATCTCGATGAGCTGCGCCAGTGTCTCATGTCGGTTTGGCTTTTGTTCGTGGTATATCGGCCATTCTGTGCCGATGTTCTTGATGTAAGTATTGATTTTAGCCAGGAGAACAGATTTTTGGCTCCCAAATTATTTTTTCCTCCCTAAATGACCAGAATGGAGTTTGTTTCCATGTTCTCTCTCATCGGTTTTGGGATCATAAATCCTTTCCCTTTGAGGATCCTTCCATTTTCCACTGATAACTGGTTGAGGAAGCTAAAAACATTTTCTAAGGTCTGCTGGGTCTTCCATTAGATTGTGTTTCTATCAAAGGATGATGATTTTAGCGAGGGGGTAGGGATAGAGTCTGAGCTTCTTTCTGAAGTTCGTTATGTGGAATGCGCTTTGAGGTCGATCTGTGTTATGTTGCAGGGATTAGTTAGTATCCAGTAACAAGAGTAATGTGTGCCTTGGCGTACTAGCTTTGACGTCAACTCAGTAACATACATTGTTTACCTGTCGCCTTCGGGACCTACAGATGCACCTTAGCTACGGCGTGCTTGTGTGGATGTATACTCAACACACAATGTTTAGCCTGTCTCCTTCGGGACCGACAGAGGCACCTTAGAAACGGCGTGCTTCTGAGGATGTATACTCCGTGGCACACGACGTTTTGTCTGTCTCCGTCGGAACCGACAGAGGTGCTCTAACAGTAGCGTGCCGTGAGGATGTATGCTTAACAACATACAGTAGTTTGCTTGTCTCTTTCTACGCCTACAAAGATGAACGTGCATCCAGTGCATTACTCCACCTCCGCGCGACTCTCTTTGTGCTTGCGTGTTCAAACACGACACGGAATCCAGATATCGTGTCACCTATCAGGTGTTTCCATCTGTACTGAGTAGCGTATTGCGAGTGTCCTTGAACACGATGGAGCATGCATCCTCATACCTATCGCTGTTTACATCAACATCGACAGGGTAGCGTGAATCGTTGAAGAA